CCCCCTGATAGTTCCTTCCTTTTTTTTTCCTCTTTTGTCCCTTCAGAATCTGTTCAGTTGCAGTATTAAAATCTATAATAACTGTCTAAGCAGGGCAGTAACTGGACCAGACACTGTGATGTAGTCATTGCGCGAATTCGCCTTGGCTAGAGGCACTTCTGGCAGGTTAGTGAGGGTGAGTCACTGCTTGAATATTCAGCTTGTGAACTCTGGGACAAACATTTAAGGCGTTCACTTGAACATTAAATTATTGAATGTCAAACTGTAAAAGATTGTAGATCTCTTGGGCCAGTTGCACAATCAACTATTTAACTATTTCATTGAATTTGATGTAATGGAAGATATTCTAACAATTTATCCAAACTTTGTTTGACCTTTTTAAAAAAGAATGCAGAACGAAAATGCTATTTAATTTTGTTTAAGCTGCATCTCTCATGAATCCATCACTGCCTTGTTTGGTAGTAAACAACAGAAAAGCTGCATTTACAAATTCGGAAACTAAAACTTGTATAATATCTGATGTAGTAGATGGTAACCTCATGAAATATGCATCAGCTTCAGTCAACAGTTTAGACCTATTGTCTTGTGTATGATCCTGTGTCCTGTGTGACAGTGAATACGAGCAGCACCTCGCTGTAATATGACCTACTTGAATTATTCATATTAGGCAAAATTGCATATTTTGTCAATAAAGATGTTAATAATAATGATAGCTGTATCTGTGATATGGTATATCTTGTAGGTTTAATATTATGTGCTCATAAAACAGACGTTTGATTATATCTTATATTTCCAGGTATCTCTATTATTCAACTGGAGACCTAGTTGAATACTGGGTCTCCAGTTGAATACTTGAACTGGTAAATTCCCATGGGAAATTTATTTAATCCCTTGCTACTTTATGGTGTTTTCTTTGAGATCGTTGGTAACTGAAATACATATAGGCTTGTAATCGGGTACCACACTACCGTTACAATGGGAGTATGGTAAATCACGTTACCATTACAACAGTGGCAGCGATGTCTGTTTGAACCGTTACAGGCTTGGGAAATTTTAGGCCAACTTCAGTGTATCTTCCATGTGAATAATGGCTTTATAAGTGGCGTTATTTACGTTAGTCTTTTATCAGAATAGGTGTTTAATGTACATACTGTAATGCCTACTACTACTGTGATTGTTGATGCTAGTTGATGATCAACTAGCATCAATCACTGTTGATGCTAGTAGGGAGTGCACAAATGCTGAGCAAGAAGAAATTGCAATATGTTGGGAGTCTGACTATTAAGACAATCCCACCGTAGGCCAAGTGGTAGTTATCATAATTAAAAATACAGACAGTGCGATAGACTCCTGTCCTTAGCCGCTTGCTAAAGAGGATAGATGTGATCTAATATTCTTATGTCAAAATAGCAAATTGTGGGTAAAGTTGTTGAATGTGTATGCAAAGAGTGGTTCAAGCGGACCTTTAGTATTTGAAGAGATTTGGCATATCCTTCAAAGTTTTTAAAGCGCAGGATTCAGCTGCATTTGAAATGCAGTGCGACTTCTGGGAACCTTTCTTGTTTCTCGTAAGGATTGACGGCGCTCTTGATTGACAGGGCAGGAGCGGTTTCTAGCTTTCTGCTTCGGGTAAAGAATATGTGCAGTCTGTGCACTGGGAATAGTTGTGGAACCCAAGCAGAAAGGATAAAGGTTGCAGTAGTGGGATGTAGTAAGTACAGTGGTGGCTACAGTGACAGTGAATACAGTGGTGAGTAATGGACAGAGTTTGGGAGGTGTGGTGCGGTGTTTCAGGCTTGTCAACATCTGGAGAGTTATCAACCCATCACAAGACTTTACTGACCAGCCAGTAGGTACATTTTAGTCTGATGCCTAACCCACGCATCTGAAAATAAAAGGGGGGAGACGACGTTTCGGTCCATCCTGTGCCCTTTTCCATCGTGGATGAACAGAAACGTCGTCACCTCCTATAATTTCAGATTCATGGGTTGGGTGTCTATTTTTAAGCCACGTTGTAGTGACTTTCTGTTAGTATACACCGAGAAGTTGGGTATATTTCTCGGTATTCATATCCTTATGATAGCAGAGGCAATTTTGAATGAATTGTGGGCATTGAAAGACATAGTCAGTTTGGTGGAGTTTGCGGAGCCATTGGGAATATTGGATACAGTGTGGGAATATTGGATACAGTGTGGGAATATTGGATACAGTGGAAGGTAGTGGATTCAGTGGAACTAGTGGATTCAATAGGTCTATTGAGTTTAGTGGCTGGTAGTGGATTTAGTAAGTGGTAATAGATTCAGTGGGCGGGGGTGGATTTAATGGATGGTAGTAGATTCAGTGGATGGTAGTTGAATTTGTGGGAATCAATGAGTGTAGTGGTTATAGTGAGTGCAGTGGAGGTAGCGTGCGTGTGCTTTCAAGAGAGTAACGAAGGTAGTGAGTGAGTTCCACGAGTGACCCCGTGAGTGGTGGTGGGTGAAGCAGTCAGTTGGGGCGCGTAGAGCCAGGCTCCGCCCCGAGGAAGCAGCCCATCCTTTCCCCGCCTCCCTCAGGAACCATAGAATTTCTATTATTTTCCTTATTCTGAGAGGGGAGAGAGGAGGGCTGACGGAGGCGGTGAGAGGGAGACCAGAACCGAATAGGAAAAGGAAAAATACGCGAATACGTAGAGAATAAGAGATGGTTAATGTGTTTGAGGGGTTAGGGAAGAAGGGTGGTTAGTTTTGAAAGAAGTAAAGGTTGAAGATGGTGGGGGAAGGAGAGGGGGTTTGGGGGTTGGGGAAGAGGAGGAGGGGGAGAGGGATATAGGAAATTCATTTACTTTTTCTCTTCTTCAAATCCGAGTTAGAGTGAGTCGGTGGTGAGTATTTGGCAGAGCGGTGATGAGTTGTGGCGCTCTGTGTGTGTGACGGGCCAGAGTTTATAGATACTGATGGCGGGTCGTAATGAGGCTGCGGATCGTCACATTATACATCATACCCCCACCATTACCAGTAGCCAGCGCTCGCCGGAGTCCCCGTCGCCGCCTGCGCCCCCCGTCCGCTACAGGACCCGCCCTCCTGCGCGAGGGGCGGCTTGGGTTGAAAGCGGCCAGCGGAGAGGGAGCCAAGCGTTCTGGCACTAGACTGAAGCATTGTGGAGCGCTGCTGTATCAGAGCTCACCGCCCTACTCCCTTATGGATCAGTGTGGCCAAGCGAGCTCACTTAATGGATGATATATGACCAATGGAAAAGTCCACAACCCAAAATTCCCCCCCTCAAATCCAGAGAAGAAAAATAGTACGAGAATGGAAATAGTTTCTTTGATTTTTGTGCTGGACGCGGTGTTCATGGGAGTCTTTTGTGCTCCACGCTCATAATTGCGCGGATTTTCGAGCCTTTTTTGTCATCATCAGCGTTTATTTATTAGTATTTTTTTTAGGTAGAGAAATTTATTTGAATTTCACGCGAGGTGATCTACAGCAAGACCTGACCTTCACCTCTGGCTGTAGGTAATCTCTGACACCATCAAGACTGCCACCATCACATTACGACTCGTTAATCGCGATCCCATGAATAATCAACGTCCGTCAATTAACGGGAAAAGTAGTGGAAATAAATACCGTTCTTCCGCCCACTGGAGAATGTTCTCTGAAAGTTTTGATAAAGAACAGGAAAGCAAAGTATTCATGCACCGTTCATAATTAGTTGTTATCTGGCGTATAATGTACGCCGGAGAACAGAGAGGTAGGTAGCGAGGCTCTGGCGGGAGAAGGAACAGTAGCAAGCAGGAGTGACTGACGACGGAGCAGCAGAAGGGGCAGTCGTGGCAGGGAAAAGGTCGACATCAGGGCCGGCGGTGGCAGCTGCAGGAGCGGGTGTCGATCAAGGAGCTGAATCAGGCGGCGTCTGGAAGGTAGATTACACCATGGCGTCCAGAGCGATGGATTAAAAGTCGATTGATAATAATGTTAGCAGATATATATATATATATATATATATATATATATATATATATATATATATATATAACGAAGACTGATTGTAGGGATCGCATAATTCCGCGAGCAGGAAGCCAGTAAGGTAAAATTATTCAACGAATACACTTAGAAGAGTCGAGCCAATAACTTCGGCATCCTCTCCTTCGGGCGATCGCTTGGTAAGAGAGGAGCCTCATCCTCTATACAGGAGGAGCCTCGTTACCTTACAAATTAATACAACAAAGCAGCGGTCACTCGAGGACTACGAGAGGTCGAGGGAGAAGGAGGAGGAGGCGGTCGTGGAGTTTGTTTACATCATGATTAGTGCCTCCACAGAATTGCAGATGACGAGGGTGGCAAGGGCCGGCCCGGCCCACCCTGCCGCCGGCCTCGAGTTGGGTCCTGGCCGCGGTGGCAGTGACACGGGTCAACAGAGGTCAGATCCCCGGGGTCAGCAACACAGGAGTGGAGTGTCTTTCGCGTCCCTGGACCTCGAAGAAGAAGACAGGTTGCCGGGATCGAGAGCGTGCGGGTCGATGGAAATTTTTTTTTCTTGGGGTGAGAATCATGTTTTCGAGTCGAGACGCGTAATGCAAAATAGCCATTTTTTTTTCTTTCCCGGTGATCACACCTCTACAATGTCCGGATGTCGTGTGGTAGTCAGCGCCACTCGATCACAACGGCGTCGAGGAAGGACCCACTCTACCGCTGACGAAGAGACGCACTGAGGACGCCGCTGGGCCCATAAAGAGGACTCTCCGTGTTCTCGTCTCAATCCTGCTGAGGTTCCAACGCCTCCTTGAGAAGGCGAGGTAGGAGGAGGCAGCATGAGGGAAGTGGCCGCCGCCGCCCCCGCGGTGAGGGAGGAAGGTCTGAGGTCCCCGTGGTGTGATCACCCCAGAATGTAAATCATCAAGTCGCCGGAATATCGAAGACAGTGGGTCGTGAAGGTGCATATTCAATGGCGCTGGTGAATATGGAACGAACGGCGTTGGGTGTATACAGTATGAGCGAGGGGCGCGCCAGTCAGCCGGGAGGTCCTGGTCAGGACAGAGTGGGGCAGCAGCAGCAGCCGCCACCTTCTGCAGGAGACGCTGACGGGGGCGCTGACACTCCCCCCTCCCCCCCCTCTAACTCCACCCATGACCCAAGCGCCAGAGTGCAGCGTAGCGTGTTTACATGCACCAAGGTGTCGTGTAGAGTGCAAGCGAGAGGAACTAAGTGAAGAGTGCTTGAAAAAACACATAATTTCTCCTTGGGTGGAAAAAAATCACAAAGAAATCGTTGAAATTATCCCTATTAGTGAGCAGCTGACAACATGAGCAAGTGCAGTGTTCAGAGAGAGAGAGGCGGGGGAGGGGCTGGTGGGGTAGGAAGGGGGGAAGGGGCAGACAAGCTGAGACTACTACCAAGTAGCCAATGAGCGACAGTCGACATACTCCGTCGGCGACGGCCATACGTCAAGTGGCCGCAAATGTCGTGTCATCAACAGGAAGAGGAAACGACGTGGAACTACTTAACAGTTTGTTTATGTCAGGACCGCGAGCCCCACCGGACTCAGGAGGTGAGCTTGTGCTGACAATTAAAATTTCCGAAACAGACAGCTAAGAAAAAGTAAATCTTTAGTAAGGTTTCGAGGTCAATGTCATAAGTGAGATATATATATATATATATATATATATATATATATATATATATATATATATATATATATATATATATATATATATATATATATATATATATATATATATATATTGTTATGCAATGTCATTTCCCTTTCTTTTCAAATGTATGGGGCTATTAATACATTTCTGTAGGCATGATTTCCAAGTGCAGAAATGCAATGTATCAAATTCTGAATTTAGCTATAGAACAATGCAGTGAATATTTAAATACATTTGGGGAATGGGTTTCTCTGGACTGTCATATCGAGAAGATCTTTCAATCTCAGATGAGATTTTCTGGCTAAATTGTTAAAATATTTTCAATTCAATGCTAAAGTAATATACTTTATAAACAAATACAAATGTGTGTGTTAGCAATTTATGAAGATAAAATTATTATTTTGCATAGCAATCTTAAGAGAGACGCTTTTGTACATTTATATGAATCCCTCAAAAGTTTAGTCACTCAGCGAGAACTTTAAAAATTGGATTCTTCAGTGGAAGCCTAAAAAAAATGGATTCCTCAGTAGGGAACCTAAAAAATTGGGTCCCTCCGTGGAAAATTTAAGAACTGAATTCCTTATTTGAAACCTAAACAAAAATAGGTCTTTCAATGGGTACATTAATATTTGGGTTCCTCAATCAGATTTGTTTAAAATTTATTCCCCAATTAGAACCTGAAAAAATTTGGATGGCCAGTGAGGGACTTCAAGAAGTTCTCGGCTTGCGATGCTCATTGAGAAAATGTTTTTGCCTCCTGTGGTATACAAGACAATCAGCCCTCTAAACTTTTTAAGATAGCCAACATTTGTAAGATGATCGCTAATATATATATAAGACGAGCGCTAACATTTGTAAGATGATCGCTAATATATATAGGACTAGCGTTAACATTTGTAAAATTATCGCTAACATATATAAGACGAACATTTAGGCTATCAGTGACTTTACATTTAGATCATAACTACCTTAAATTAATCTAAACCCAAACAGTTATACACATAAAAATAATAACCTTGTGACGAGTCTACAGATTAGATTGATGCCATTAATGAATGAAAATAAATATAATAAATCATATTAAACAAAAAAAATTATGGGTGGTAAGGGAAGAAAATATTCGAGTATTCAAGAAGAATCCACAAAATCTTCTCTGCATACCCTTTATTCTCTTCTCCGTGACTATGGGTCCCTACAATTGAACCAGAGGTGTTACTCCAAGATATATGTGCAGGTAATATTGGCTACGTTGTCATTTCCCGCACATGAGTACTGCCTTGGGAAGTAAGGGGGTGATGAACAGGGAATTATAATGAAGGGCGGATCGCCTCCCACTGTGTGTTGAGTCAGGGGTGACACCTGAATGTGGGTGATGGGGTCGGGTGCTCCTGTCAGCCTCTCTCCTACCTGCCAGGGTGTGTATGGGGACCTGGTACATCCTACGGGGAGCATATACACCCTACGAGAAGGTTATACACTCCACGGGGAGGTTATACACCTCACGGGAAGCTTACACACACCGGTCCAGAGTCCGTCCATCTACAAGTTACAAAGTATTATAAAACTCGGACTTAAAAACGCCCCCGAAGGATACCTGGTGAACCGGGATGTGGCACATACGTCAGCCTGCAGGCGCTGCATGTAGAGCAACATGCCTGACCAGACCACCAACCAGTAGATGTGAAAAGAGACCGGACCGCTGGGACATTGATGACCGGAGTCCTTAATAGGTATAGGTACACAATGAGATCGCAAGAACATGATATATCTATAAGTTCATCGAATCATATCTATAGTTCGATCACATTATTTGGCTTCAAATATTTTATCATGTTAATCGTAATTTTGACTTACAAAAAAACTCCAATAATGAACTGTATGAACTTCTTGAGAAATATTTCTTTAAAGTGCTTCATTCATTTTAATTTGTATTTCCACAGCACACTTATAAATGAAATCCAAATGTTCGTTAATTAGACCGTCAAACCGTTTGTTTATGTATGAAAAACGTTCACACACCACTCACAACTGATGACGTTCGAACATTCGTTGACGACCTCTGTTCGAATTTCAACTTAGTAAAAGCTTCACAAACATGCTACAAATACAAGTTGCATAGTGGTTTCAGTATGCAACTGTACAGTGCAGTATACAGCATAGTTCATACTGGTTACCAGTTGCCAACGGGACGAAAACATAATGTAGTTTAACAAAATCAATAGATATTTTACGTAATATTCTTTATTACATAATTGCAATATATGACAAATATTTACTAAAGCGCCTGTGTGTGTGTGTTCAGGTATGCATAATTACACATTTTTGTTATTTAATTAGCCGTAAGTAACTAGAAATTAAAGAAAAGCAAAAATTCCATTAACTTTCGCATTATTATTATTAATATTATAAAAACAATTATAAATATTATTCATTTTATATTATTATTATTATTATTATTATTATTATTATTATTTTCAAAACAATTATAAGTATTATTCATTTTATATATTATTATTCTTATAAAACCAATTATAAGTATTATTATTTTTATATATTATTATTATTTTTATATATTATTATTATTTTTATATATTATTATTATTTTTATATATTATTATTATTATTTTATAATTATATTATTGTTTTTATTATTATATTTCAATTTGTATTATACTTTATATTATATGTTTTACAATTATTCTAAATATACATAAGCAACGAGCAAGCTGAGATCAGCCAGTTTATACACGAGACCCATACGTATAAAGTCAAAACATAGTTAGATATATATCAGAATGGTTAATAAATCAGACTGTTTCATGAGGGTAAGCCAGTTGCTGCTCGTAGGTGTGTGTGGTGGAGGACCTGTCAAGTATTGTAATGTCTGAGACAAAGTTATTGTGTCACGTATTGTGTGTATCATGTGATACATATTGTGTGAATGAAGAGACTCAGTGGAAATTAAGTTACAGGTATTATATATGAAGAGACACATGAATGAAGTTACGTGTATGGTGTAAATCAAGTGACACATATTGTGAATGAAATGACACATATGGTGTGAATGAAGCAACACGTACTGTATAGTGTGAATGAAGTGGCTAATATTGCAACGTGTGGACGAGACAAACGCGTGTGTAATTTTCAAATGAAAATATACACATTGTGCTAACGAACGACTTTTAGTGCACTACACATTGCCGAAAGACATCATTAGCTGCAAAACAAGTTGAAACTTTAAATGCAAATTACACTTGCGCATGAAGGAGAGTGAGAGGGTTCAGACCAGAGAGTGCTTCAAGTGTTCCTCCTTTCTTATGTTCTCCAAGATTTGCAACTTGTGTAATACTGAAATATGTGAATTAACAGATTTTTTTTTTCTCGCGTGTTTTAACATCGCTAAACATCATGCATAAAGGCAAATATGTAGTAGTCTGCATTGTTGCCTATTGACTACGATAAGGGCTCGAGTTTGTTAGAGGGGAAAATTCAAAAATATCTGGGGCCAGATTCACGAAGCAGTTACGCAATCACTTACGAAACTGTGCATCTTTTCTCAATCTTTGGCGGCTTTGTTTACAATTATTAAACAGTTAATGAGCTTCGAAGTACCAGGAGGTTGTTTATAACAATAACAACAGTTGATTGGCAAGTTTCCATGCTTCTAAACTGTTCAATAAATGTAACCAAAGCCGTCAAAGATCGAGGAAAGATGTACACGTTCGTAAGTACTTGCGTAACTGCTTTGTGAATCTGGCTCCTGATCTCAGAGTCCTCGCTTCCCTTCTCGATTAAGACGTACAAAGTCACTTTGAGAAATTCTCGACGTACTTCGACGTACAGCGTACATTTCTACGTTTATTGACTCGTAGATCTACCATCAACACGCTTCTAACAGTGCGTTACAAACGATCGTAGAGCTTCTTTAATTTTTTTGAGTTTATCGCAATATGAAATTTAACTCCTAAAAAGAAAGTGTGAGTCGCTAGAGCATTTTTTGGGCCATAGTAATGTGTAAAAGTTTTATTAAAAAACAATAGACTTATGTTCCTAATTTCATTGACCAACTAACCACGACGTATCTCCGTATATATCGCCATAAAGAAACGATATATATACGGAAATAATGTAAAAAGATCAATGATATGATAAACCAACGACAAAATATGCAGACGAGGAGTCACAATAGCGTGGCTGAAATATATTGACTAAACCAGACACTAGAAAGTGAAGAGACAACGACGTTTCGGTCCGTCCTGGACCATTCTCAAGTCGATTGTGAATCGACTTGAGAATGGTCCAGGACGGACAGAAACGTCGTCATCCCTTGACTTTCTAGTACGTGGTTTGGTCAACAACGACAAAATATTGATGTGATAGGATAAAACTCACTTCCCTGGGCTCCCCAAACACACACACATTACCCACTGAGCCATGATATGCTCATAAGCATCTTACAGTCAGGTGTAGCTAGTGATGTTCCCTCATCTGTAGCCTTCGACTACGCCCGAGTGAAGATGGATATCTTAAAACTAGAATTAAGATACCGGATGGTCCCTCCCAAAACTCCAAGACTGATAATACTTCTAGTTGTGATAATTTTGAGCATATTATGGTTCAGTGGGTAATGTTTGTGTGTCTGGGGAGTACAGGAGGCGAGAACTCGATCCCACTGCATCTCCTCAATATTTCCTCATAGGTCCATCACGTTTTTTGTTATATTATGAAAATAGTAAGCCAATATACTGTATATTATAATGTAATATACATATATATAATATGAAGAAAATATCAAAGTGTTCAGCGAGGATCCACAAGGTCTTATCTGAGTACTCTTTATTTTATTTTCCGAGGCTATGAGTCCCTACACTTGCACCAGAGGTGGTACCCCTTTATA